TAACCAATTAGTGCAAGTTAACCCCTCAAGGTAGAGAAAGATTATAGGAGGCTGTTAAAGCCAGTTGAAGTCCATATGTAAACTCAGTATTTTAGTTAAACAACCGTTTGAAAATGGCAGAATCTGAGTGTAAAAGTGTTTTAAAGTGAAAATAAATAGGCATAAGTGTAAAATGGAGCATCTTAATTGATGGTTATCTATACATGTTTTGAAAAAATTGCCATTATATTAAACCATTAAAGAGACTAAAAATGGCCATTAGTAAAAAACTGAAAAAAATAAAATAAAAAAGGTAACAAAACCCATATGTAATGTTCCAACATATTATTTTATGGATAGAATTTAATATCAAAGCAGTTTAAAGAAAAATGATACCCCAACAAATGTCTTAAACGAGCGTATAGGAGGGCGTTCGAGGCCGACTGTAAGGGTCTGTTAAAAGAGACTGATCCAGATTGGTACCCAAAGATTCTGGGGGCACCATTAGGTTGATAGCCACGTAGATGAGGGATGTGAGATACTTCTGGCCCATTCTCACGGGTGACGAACACCTAAAAGAGGTGCTCGCCCCCAATGTGACTACGGCAGCACGTAGGGGTAAAAACTTCCATTAACAACATGGCTCCAGAACCCTTTAGTTGGCACCTTTGCATGTGGAAGGTGTGTAGTGTGTAAACACACCAAAAGGGACTCTAAAAGTGTTACGGACAGTGAGGGTGTAAATGTGTTTAAGATCACATCCTTCTTCAACTGCAATATGGCAGGTATAGTATATTTACTTACCTGCCAATGCAATCTTAAATACATTGGGAAAACTTTCTGCCCTTTTAAACAAAGGATGAAGGAACATATCAGGTCCCCCAAAAACCCAGTGGACAACCCCATCTCAAGACATCTTAGGGAATGCCATGCACGGGACTCTAAGGGTTTACGGTTCTGTGGCTTGGAGTTGGTAAAGAGAAACCAGAGGCGAGGTGTTTACGACAAGTATCTAAGGCAACGTGAATGTTTTTGGATATATAGACGCAAAACACTGAGCCCACATGGACTCAATGAAGGATTTTCCTTTTCTCCCTTTCTTTAACCAATCTATAATAATTCTCCCCCACTATTATGTAGATATGCCCTTTAAATACTAATAAAGTTTATATTTTAATTTTTTGTTTCTTACCAATTATAGTGGGTAATACATGTTATAGGTGAATTTGAGAATCGTTACATAGTCTTGACTTTTCAATTTTGACTACAAAACTTTACATCAGATAGAGAGATGTGCCACATTTATATTTTTATGTGTAGTGTAATGAACATTAAAGGGACACTCCAGCACCCAATCCCTACAACTTAAAGGAACCCTATAGGATCAGGAACACAAACATGTATTCCTGACCCTATAGTGTTAAAATCAACATCTAGCTCCCTTGGCCTTCCTTGCTTTCCCTAAATATAGTATAATCTTACTTTTACTCCAGTCTGCTGCTGCTGGATCTGCCTTCTTGGCTAACATCATCAGAAGTGTTGTTCTGAGCCCATCCCAATGCTTTCACGTAGGGTTGGCTGAGACTGTCAAGGAGGCAGACCAGGGGCAGAGCCAGCACAAGCCAAACACAGCCCTGGTCAATTAGCATCTCCTTATAGAGATGCATTGAATCAATGCATCTTTATGAGGAAAGTTCAGTGTCTCCATGCAGAGACACTAAATGGCAGTACTTCACACTGTGCAACACCTCTAGTAGCCATTTGAGGAGAGGCCAGTGGAGGTGTCCCTAGGCTCCAATGTAAACACTGCCTTTTCCCTGAAAAGACCGCGTTTACTGCAAAAAGCCTGAAGGGAATGATCCTACTCACCAGTACAAATGCAATAAGCTGTAGTTGTTCTGGTGACTATAGTGTCCGTTTATTGTAGTAGTCTTGATGCCAAATACTGTCCCTGTAGGCGGACTATTGTACGCTTTGCCATTTCTAAAAAACTGCAATGTTCATGTTTGTCCATCTGTGTGCCTCTAGCAGCTGTCAGTCTGTCAAATCAGCTTTCAAATGCTTCTGTCAAAGATGTTTTTGCTTAGTAGAGTATATCATAGAACAGGATGCTCAACAGTGGGACAGCACTAACTAGCTGTAGTGGATACATGGTGCTTTCATTTGTGGTTGAGTGCAATAGTGCAGAACTATTTATTTTTTGCAATCTCTATATGTAAAATTTTCAGCCTCTCTTTAAATGTTGCGTTTTTTTTTTTTAATTGTATGTGATTAAAGGCTGAAGGAATAGGAGTGAATCCTCTTCTGGTCATCATTCCAGCTACAATAAGTGCCTCATGTGCTTTCCTTTTGCCTGTTGCAAATCCTCCCAATGCCATCGTTTTTTCCTATGGTCACCTCACTGTTCCAGACATGGTAGGTACAACATCATTTAGAAACTGACAGGGGAATTTGTAAAGCAAGTAGTAAACGTTCAGAAATCTCCATCACAAAGGCTTAATTTCTCTTTCTTGTAAATTGCTTGTTCACTTTTGAGTGCTTAACAAAAACAGCATTTGTTATTGTGAAATTTGAAAGTATTGTATTGTGAAGTATAGCAAAGCAGCAGATATGTGCACGAATGTTGTTCAAAGACCACTAAAATAACAACGCCTCAATCACAATTTAGCATTTGATAATTATTGACATGTTAATAGCTGCCGATGAGGTGATCACAATCATACAATTCCTAAACTGTTCAGCAACAATTTTCATATTATCGGTTTGACAAGAGAGTGACCTAAGTTAAACAATCAAGCTTAAAGGAACACTCAAAGTGAAAAAATGAATACATTTCATGTATATAAAGATAGATAACCAAATCACTAGCTATAATCCCAATGAAAACATGCAATGTATCTACAAACCAGTTTCTAAAGCTGCAGATCACATGTCTGCAGTTTTTGCAAGCCCTCCCCTTCTTCCCCAGCACATACTTTCTGTGGCTGTCCAATCACAAACTTCCCAATGTAGCTCCATGTTGCAAGGCAGGTGCTCTGGGCAATTGATGCTCCACTGCGTTGAACAACCAGGAAGTAACAGGGTCAATTGTCTGACAGACAGGCAACTGTAACACGGTTAATTTATAGAAGTGCAGATTTGTATTGAAATCTGCAGTTTTTGTAAAATAAAAAAGGATACACTCTTCACACACACAAAGCACTACAGCAAGCCAAAGTGATTTGGGTATTTGGAAAGTCCCTTTAAGCGATCACTATGACATCAGGAATACAAACGTGATTTAAGGGCAATTTAGATCAGGGCTCGCCCCTCAAAATTAATGTACACACAGCAAGCCTAGAAGTAAACACTGTCTTTTCCCAGAAAAGGTAGGGCTTACACTGCAGAAACTGCAGGGACAATCTCTTATCTATAGAACCACTATATTAAGCTGTTGTGGTTCTGGTGCTTACAAATAATGTCTCCCCTATTACAACAGCCATGATTACTTGATAAGCCACTGAAGACACTTTTTCAATCAATTACCCAATACCTGAAAATAAGCAAATGGTATTATGCACGAACAGAAAAAAAACACTAAGATCACAACCAGTGAGCGGATTAAATTTGGAAGCAATGTCCGTAAGCTTACACACAGACTCCTTGCTGATCAATTAAAGCAAATAAAGAACCAATAAGCATTATTACACTAATAATGTAAGAAGACTGATTAAAAAACAAAAATCAACCTCAAATTAACCCATAATTTCAGATTTTAACAGACATAAAGAAACATACACCTATCAATGTCCGTTTGAAATAGGTTAATGTCAGACGTCACCTATTATGACCACTACACTATAAAAGAGATCGATGCAGGTCAGATGTTAACAATATAGTTGTAACTTGATAACTTTGTTTTCCTGACATTATAGTTTTCCTTTAAGTCTGGTTAACAACTTGATAAAAACTTCTAACTTAGGCGTCATTACAGTTGAGACATTTTTTAATTCTGATTGCGTTAAAAACACTCTCACAGTTCAGGTTATATTATTGACATAATAACAGGGTTGGAGTGCTAACAGAGCCTAAATAAGGTAAATGTGTAGGAAAAGAATTTATGAATTATTTGATTGCAGAAATGAACGTGATCCTGCCATTTACATGTAACGCAGGAAATTTAAACTAGTTCGTCAAAGTAGTATGGAAAGGCGATTGGCACAGGGCTATTTATGATTGACCCAGCTGGGCTCTAATTTGGAGCTCATCTGGAAAGGTTAGCATTTACATGACGGTGGGCTATAGTGAACTACCTCCAAAATGCCTTAAAGTTACAGTAGAAAACTTAAAACTTGGAGAATTATCTCCAGGCCCGGACTGGCCATCGGGCACAGCGGGCAAATGCCCGGTGGGCCGCGGTGTCCGTGGGGCCGAGGCCGGCAGGGGAGGTCCCAGGATCTCCCCTGCCGGTCTATGCAGGGCCGGCACTATCCTAGCGCCGGCCCCGCTGTTTGTCACGACGGGCCGGTGGGGAGATCAAAGATCTCCCTCACCGGCCCACATGCGGCCGCCGGCGGGGAGGGAGGGAGACAGCCAGGCTGGAGAGAGGACCCGGCGGAGCTCTAATTTGCGGCTCCGCCGGGATCCTCTCGCGAGATCCGGCGCGTTGCCATGGCAACGACCGGATCTCGCGAGGAGTTCACTCACCCACGAGGACCACCAGGGAACACTGCCTCCCCGCCTCCAGTCCCAGCGTGCCGGTCCCCCCCTCCCAGGCTAAAGGTAAGAAGGGAGGGGGGGAAAAATACCTGTTTTTTTTTTTATTATTTACCCCCCCTACATACACACAATAACATTTATACAGCACTCTCTCACACCCATCACACACAGCACTCTCTCTCACACACAGCACTCTCACACCCATCACACACAGCACTCTCACACACACACAGCACTCTCTCTCACACACAGCACTCTCACACCCATCACACACAGCACTCTCACACACACACAGCACTCTCTCTCACACAGCACTCTCACACCCATCACACACAGCACTCTCTCTCACACAGCACTCTCACACCCATCACACACAGCACTTTAACACACACAGCACTCTCTCACACCCATCACACTCACAGCACTCTCACAGAGCACTCACACATACACAACACTCTCACAGCACTCTCACACCCATCACACACAGCACTCTCACACCCATCACTCTCACACCCATCACACACAGCATTCTCTCACAGCACTCTCACACCCATCACTCTCACAGAGCACTCACACACACACACACAGCACTCTCACACCCATCTCACATACCCATCTCACACAGCACACTCACATCCATCACTCACACACAGCATTCTCACACCCATCACTCACACACAGCATTCTCACACCCATCACTCACACACGGCATTCTCCCATCCATCACTCACACACAGCATTCTCACACCCTTCACTCACACACGGCACTCTCACACCCATCACTCACACACGGCACTCTCACACCCATCACACACTGCACTCTCACACACACATACTGCACCCCTCACATACACACAGAACCCCCCCAACACACTGCACCACAAACATACACAATACTTCCAAATATATATATATATATATATATATATATATATATATATATGTATACACGCACACACTACACTCTTAAAGGACCACTCTAGCCACCCAGACCACTTCAGCTTAATGAAGTGGTCTTGGTGCCAGGTCCTTCTAGGGTTAACCCATTGTTTTATAAACCTAGCAGTTTCAGAGAAACTGCTATGTTTATCAATGGGTTAAGCCTTCCCCCAAAGCCTCTAGCAGCGGTCTCATTGACAGCCGCTAGTGGTGCTTGCGTGCTTTTCACTGTGAAAATCACAGTGAGAGCATGCAAGCATCCATAGGAAAGCATTATAAATGCTTTCCTATGCGACCGGCTGAATGCGCGTGCAGCTCTTGCCACGCGTGCGCATTCAGCCGACGGGGCGGATCGGAGGAGGAGAGCTCCCTGCCCGGCACTGGAAAAAGGTAAGTTTTAACCCCTTTCCCCTTTCCAGAGCCGGGCGGGAGGGGGTCCCTGAGGGTGGGGGCTTTAACATACACACTCTGGATCCCCTATACACACACTAGATTCCTTGTAAGCAAACACATACTACACCCCTAAACACACACACACACACTATAGCCTGTATGCACACACTTGCTATATCCCCAATACACACATTCTCTACAGCCCATAGCCACATATGCATCACATTACACCACAAACACAACACGACTAAACCCGACCTTATTACACAATACCACACCACGACCAGCTCACTCTACACACACGCAATACCACAAGCAGGCTCCAAACACATGCACAATACTCTTTCCTGGCCTTTTGTCTCCTGGTATCCATTTATAGACACCAGAGACAAGTTGCAAGGAAACACAGTGCAAGCATGTTATTAAATTTGCTTGCATTGTGCAAAACAAATACAGGACTTTTTTCTCATGCTAGAGCTCTTCAGCAGAGCTCTGCGCATGGTCTGCCCTGGAAGAGCATTGAACCAACATGCTCACTTTGAGAGGAGGCGTGTCTGTCATTGGTGACAAAACACACCTCCTCTGCCCCGCCCCCTTTTTAGTGGGCCGCTGTGTTAAAAAAATGCCCGGGCCGAATTTTTCTCCCAGTCCGGCCCTGCTGGGTAACACTCCACACTCACTGTGGATTAGGCATCTGATTTATTCCACAACATTGCATGTCCACGATTACTCACTAGTGAGAATTGTCAGGAATTCTGTAATAAACAAGTAGACATTCCAGACTTCTCATGGTACAGCATCACAAATTACCATCTGCTCTTTTTAACCCATTAGACATCCATACCTAGTATGAATATGAACATAGAATATGGAATTTTTCCAGTTCGACTATTTTAACTTTGAATTTCTGACAATTCTCAGATTTGACATTTAAAGCGAATTTCAAATTTAAAGCCAAAGGAGCCAAACTGGAAGCATAGGCAACCTAGATAATTTTTCCAGTTCGTCTACTTTGGCCTTAACTTTGAAATTCATTAACTCATTAACTAATTTTTTTGTTTTCTTTTTTTAGTTCAGCATCCAGACATCATGTTCCATTGTTCTTAAAAGGGATGGGAGTTTCAGGTAGCAACTGTTGCTTGTCGTGAAATCATTAATGCAATCCCTGTCTACACTTGGGAGTGTGACTCCTATCAGTCTTGGTCCTAGTGCTGTGGCATAGTGTCAGTCATTACACGGAGCATTGTTTTTATTTTATAGTGTGACACCCTACACTACGCAGCATGTATTTGTAAAACATGACATTCCTGATAAAATAAAGTATTTATTCCCACACAGAGAAAAGTGAGCATCTTAGACTGCTTTAAGAGGATAATTTGAGGACATCA